AATTTTGCTAATTGTGGCCTAACCAAGTGCTTCTCAACTTGAGGGCTTCTAAGGCAACCCAGTCCACCCCAAAGAGAGGGGCACAGGAAAGAGAATGGTAGTTCCTCGGTGAACTCTCCTTTGTCAATACAAGAAGTCCAGAAGAAGAAAGCAACCAGTTACTGTGTGCACAGAACCTTCTAAGTCCACACACTTGAGCAGAGGACGGTCTAAACCCGAACCATCCTACCAGCCTCAGGCACCTCCCTCACAGTTGGCTACTGTTCAATGTTTACACTACACCACATTTGGTTGATGTCTGTCCCAGTTGTCTGAGGAACACGGTGTGAGCTGAACTGGTACAAATCCTAGGAAAGCATCACGTATCGGAACCAGAAGAAATGCCAGGCATGAGAGTCTGACTTATTTTCACAGGTGCGGAAACTGAACAGAGAAAGGGGGCTTGCCTAGGGACTTCTGGTTCATTTGAGTCCCTTAACGTTTTTGCTCATTTTTAGTATTCTTGACTAGTTTTCTTTTCTCTTTGTTCCTTCCTCCCTTCCTGTCACCCTGCCTTCTGTTTTTGATGCTTCCAGATGTACTTTTCTGTGAGTACCTACTGACTAGTGATAGTCAGCTTCCACATAGGATGAGACAAAAGATGGCACCCTCTGTCTTCTGGCAGCCAGAACATGCTGCTGACTGACGGAGGCACCTGCTGGGGAGGGCCTTAGTTTCCCCCCACATGATCCCGCCAGCTCACGGCTCGGGTGGGCACACCGTGTGCAACAGCCACAGGTGGCCCAAGCCTCGGCGGACCTGAAGACTGTGGCTAGGAAGGAGGGGGTGGGGCTTTGGAAGTAGTGCTTTTAGGTAGAAGCAGGCTTCCGAGCCTTTCGGGCCTCCAGGCCTCCTTCTACACTGTGCGGATTTTATCTGCCTGGAACACATCCTGTGTTCTACCCAAGACAACCCCCTCTGGGTAGCATGGATTCTGGAGCATCCCTGTACTTCCTGCCTAGCATATAGCCCCCCTGTGACTCACCCCCTCCACCAAGAGCCTGAAGTCTTATACCTGCCTTCATTCCAGCACCTCTTAGGTTGCATTATAATCATTGTTTTACTTGTTAGGGTCTCACTGGGCTGTGGGGTTTGTTTTTGTTTTGTTTTTTTTTTTGAAGATTTTATTTGAGAGAGAGAGACACAGCGAGAGAGGGAACACAAGCAGGGGGAGTGGGAGAGGGAGAAGCAGGCTTCCCACCGAGCAGGGAGCAAGATGTGGGGCTCGATCCCAGGATCCTGGGATTGTGACCCGAGCCAAAGGCAGACGCTTAACGACTGAGCCACCCAGGCGCCCCTGGGCTGTGGGTTCTTGAGGGCTGGACCTCTGCCTTGTTCCCTGTGGCCCTTTCCCTTTCTCACCCCGGGGTCTAGTAGGCACAAACATTGTTGAATGAAGATATCTTGGTATTTTACTCACAGAACTCATTCCCTCAGAATATCTAAAAAGATTTTTTTTTAAGTTTTATTAAAAGCATATGGTTATCTTGAAATTATAGGGTTCCCCCTGCCCCCTGCTTTGCTTTTCTGCAACGATGATGTCTTACTTGAGGCCTAACTCCCAGAAAGGAACAGTCCGTTAGCCGAAGCTGCTGGCGGCCGCATTAACAGCCCCGCGGGAGCGCGCTGGCGGACACGGAGGGCCAGCAGATACCGGGCCCCGCGCGGGGAGCCTCCGACGCAAACGGTCCCCTCCTGCCCAGCTTCAACCGGGGCAGCCTCCACCGACGAGGACTTCACGCTCTTTACTGACACTGGCACTTTCTTTTCACGCAAGCACACGTGCTGCCGCTCCTCTGACGGCCGGTGGCGTTTATGGTTACGTTCAGCTCGTCCCCTAACTGCAGCCGTCTCCTTGCAGCCGGCCCAGAACCCGGAGAACCCGCAGCCGTGTGGACCGGCCAGCGCGAGCGCTTCCGGAGGAAGGACGTCAGTGAGCCGGCTAGCTCAGGTAGAGCCTGTTTCCCTGTTTCCCTCGGCCATGAAAACAGTGACCCTGAGGAATCTGCGACCCCGTGGTCACCCCTTGTTGGGGAAGAGTAAGCAGAAGCTCGTGAAGACAGGCGGGCTGTTAGCCTCTGCCCAGGGCCGGTGCCCGCGGAAGAGCGGCCTGCGGAGGAAGTAGGGGTGGGGCGGGCGGGGCGTGCCTGGCAGTCGCGGTTCAGTGTGTGAGAGCAAGGATTTAATTACCACTTCCCCAGAAAAGAGGGAGAGAGGGAAGAATTTCCATTTAATTTTGGACATGAAATTTGAGAACTAGCCTAAGACAAATATCAGTATGAATTTGGAATCAGATCAGTGATGGTTTCTGTAGGGGCAAATTTCCAGTGCTAACATCTTAGCTAAGGATGTGCGGCACAGACTTGTTTTCAGACATTCCTCTCCCCTTGCAGTTTGCTGTTACCAAAGAATCCCACAAAATCTATTCATTCAAACTCAGGGTTACTTGATGCCTGCTCTGCTGGGAGCTCCTTGAGGCCTGTCTTCTCAGGGCGGTTCCCTGCTGCGCCGGACAACAGCTTGTGCCTTCCATATGATTCTGCATGGAAATTAGCAATATTCAAGGATGAATTTTCTTGAGAGAGAGCACGTACGAGCCAGGGGAGGGGGGGAGAGAGAGAGTCTCAAGCAGACTCCATGCTAAGCGCAGAGCCCAACATCGGGCTGGATCCCATGACCCTGAGATCATGACCTGAGCTGAAATCGAGTCAGTTGCTTAACCGACTGAGCCACCCAGGCGCCCCTGAATTTTCTTTTTAATGTATTTATTGAACTGTGCTAACAGTGGTATAAAACAGAAAACATGGGCGTTTTCTCCATCCGGCTTACCACTAACTCAAAATAAACGGTCACAGAACTAAAAAGAGCTAAGAAGACTAAGAATTCATGTCTATTTCTTTTAATAACTCAAGTAACCACGACCCAAAAAACTCCAAAAAACAAAACCTAAAAACCTCTTTGTCCAGCAGATCAAACTCTGTAGTGCCCCAGTGTAGCCTCATATTTGCACTGTGGTTAGAGGTTAATTGAATGAGTGGCTGAGGACAGGAGAGCCACAAAAAACATGGGAACAAGGCAGGGTGTGATATCCTTCTTCAGGAAATGTCAGTTGCTATAAAAAGTGTATCTTAGCCTATTTACATAGTATGGAACCATGTAAAAACAAGAAAAAGCACCAGGCTGGCAGCTCAGATACGCTACTCGTTTGCTCTAAACTTCTAGACAAGGTAAAACTTTTTGGAAACCAATTTAGCAATAGAGATCAAATTTAATTACCTATAATTCCATTTCAGCTACACAAACATGCGTATAAGGATGCCCTTCATAGTGATGATCACAGAAACAAGATTGGAAACAACATAAGTGTTCACTAACAGGATACTAAGTGGTTTTAAGTGTGGTATAAACACAGTGGAGGGCTCCATGTTACTTTCATGTTTTTTTTTTTTTTTAAAGATTTTATTTATTTGGCAGAGAGAGAGAGAGACAGCGAGAGAGAGAACACAAGCAGGGGGAGTGGGAGAGAGAGAAGCAGGCTTCCCGCGGAGTAGGGAGCCCGATGCGGGGCTCGATCCCGGACCCTGGGATCATGACCTGAGCCGAAGGCAGCCGCTTAACGACTGAGCCACCCAGGCGCCACCTCATGTTCTTCTTTCTGAGTCTGAGAAGCTGGTTTGAATTTAGAAAAGGAAATGTCTATTACACATAGTTTCTAGAGAAATATCAATTGTAGACACACACACCAAACCATGCCATCCATAGAAGGGGCATAAAACCACCCACCCAGGAGGAGGAGCGTGAGGCGTCAAAGCGGCAAACGTAGAGGGAACACTGCCGAGCCGGAGCCCACAGGATCACATGAGACTGGGGATCTGGTGTCACCGTATCTTCCAGATTGCCAAGCACTGTCAGACTTTGATTTGAACTCTAGTATCTAAATAGTAGCAACTTATTCAACTGGTTTTAAAACACTGCAAGTTACCAAAGAAGACCTACAGATGGCAAATTAAGCAAGTGAAAAACTTGCTTGACACCATGTGACCTCATTTATGACACTCTGGAAAAGGCAAAGCTATAAGGTATGGAGAACAGATGAGTGGCTGCCAGGGGTTAAGTGTTTGACAACAAGAGTGGAGGTAGTGTGAAGAAATTTTCCGGGGGTGGGGGGCTCGGGGGGTATGGAAATGTCTGTCTCTTGATTGTTGTGATCGTTACCATGCTTCTCTCCCTGTGAAACTTCATGAACAGGACTGGAAAGAGACATGAGTGAGTTAATTATGTCCTTTGATCAGTCAGTTTGTGACTTCTCTTTATTACATTCAAAACCCTCTTTCCACATGGTGAACTGCTCACACCCATCCATCTATGAGGTGGGAAAGATGAACAAAGCTAGTGCATTTCATTCATTGACAACTCTGTCAATCCACAAAATGCTAGCACAGTATTCGTCATTAAAGCAGGATCTTAACTTTGTAAATCATTTCATTAATACATTTGAAATACTTAGGGCTACAAGTTGATCTCACTTCCTATGTATATTTAGAAACATTATCTAAAGGAACCCTGTAAAGCTTATAATAAGCACTAATTTTTGGTGTATGTTTCCCTAATATTTCCTTAAAGCGAAGTTTTTCTGTGTTCTATTCAGGCTGTTGCTTTTGGCTATAATCTCTAATAAACTACTCTTCTGAAATCCCCACAGTCTCTCCTGGTGTCAGAGGAGCGGCCCCCGGTCCGTGAACAATCTGCGTGGGACACGGAAGAATTAGGCCCCTTTCTACGCTTGTGCCTCATGGATCAGAATTTCCCCGCGTTTGTGGAAGAGGTGGAAAAGGAACTCAAAAAGCTGACAGGGTTGAGAAATTAACACTCCACATACATACAGAACTAAGGAAGTTGAAAGCACTGAAAAAGTGCTTCCTCTTAAGTTTAGATACAAGAATAAAGAGTATTATTCCAAACACCTTTTATCAATGTTTTATTTTTAAAAACAGGTGAATCCACTTTTTTATACATCATTGCACTTCAACACTTACACAAAACACCAGTACATGCATCTATGGTTACATACCGCATGAGAACCCTGCCGGGCGAGAAAATCTACACTCAACCATTAAGTCAATGTGAAAAATACAGTGTCAACCCCGGAGGAGAACGAGTTGCATAGAATACCATGCGAGAACATTTCAAGGTCTTTGAAAACAAAAGGTAAATTATAAAAGTTTGCCTTCATTGAATGTACAATAAGGTTCAACACATCAGTGCAAAAGGATTTAGGAATTTACATGATTTAACAAAAGAAAAGAGTCACTTAAAAAGCAATCATACATATATACTGCAATTCAATATATCCATTCAGTGGAGTGTTCCGGCTTCTTACCAAAGTCGTAGGTTAAGCCCTTAGAACCATAGATTTCAGTTTATATTATTCATCTTTATGTACCAGAACTGCACACTTTCCTCATCTGACAACATACAATAAGGAATGAATATCAGCAGCTAAAAAATGAAACAAGCATTTATTTTATTTTGGATTTCTCCCACCCCCAAAAATATAAATATATATATATATATTTATATACTGTATATATCTGTAGGTTTTGCTGTACTTTACAAAAATGTTACCACTAGATGGCAGCAGTGCAATTTAGAGCTTTGCCAATTTAACAGCTGCATTAAGTAAAAAATGGCGCATGCACGATCCGATCCTCAGAGGACCTTTTCACTTCTACTTAAATATTTTAACAAAGGGGGGAAAAAAGCAACATTCACAGCACATCAAGCCCAAAATAGTTTACACCTTCTACACTGAAGCATTGTTTAAAATGTACCTGACTAGGTCACCCTTACAGGAAAGGCTAAATAAGGCATGCTTTAGACAGTCATTGTGGTGCTGCTCGCTTGAAAGGGGAGAGAACCAAAGAGGTCCAAGCAGAAAATTTAGCAGGTCATGTTGCCACCAGTTTCAGGAACCTAAAGGTCTGTAAAGAAAGAGTATGTGGAGATTAAAAGGGAATAGGCACTGTCACTTAAGACCACACCAAGTGCCACATCAAACAAAGCATGCTCAGGGATGTGGTGTGAAATTCTGATCTCCATGTGCCTACGTGGAAGGCACTCCGGCCTGGCTGTGCCCGGCCACCATTCTTCCCTTGCCCTCACAAGCAAAGTGGAATTAACTGGCCTCTGGGAATAATCCACCTAAGGTGACAATTTTTACCTCTTTTTAAAAGATACGGTTAAACAGCGGTACAGGGTCTTTCTTTTTAAAACACCATACATATTCTGAAATGGCATTTAGAAAAATATGTGGAACGACACAGCAGAAAACGTTCCTTTCCAGCTGCTGCACTGGATGGAGGACAGAGACCGAATTTGTTCCATCAGTAGTTCTGCTCTGAAATGAACTACAAGATCCCACAACAGGATGCCAACTACTGAAGAATCTGTCACAAGGTCAACAGAGGCACAGTCATTTGAATATAATTTTTAAAATCTCTAAAGAAGGCCATACTTACATCATAAGCAGTATTTAATTTGTGTTTCTCTGGCGCAAGTTTTTCTCTTTGTGATTGTTGGTAGAGTTGGTTTTCCTTTGGAGGAAAAATTGCATTGTAAAAGTTAAACTCAAAGTCAGTAGCAACTCTTGAAATTATAACACATGGAAATACAGGAATTCTTTCACTTACTACCATCCCTGGTGTAATAAGAAATTTTACTGCCCATTAGTGTATAAAAATATTCTTTCTATAAAATGCCTACAGAGCTTCGATTAATCCTTTTGACTCCCAAGACAGACAATATACAGGTACCTTTCCCTCGGATTTATAGGCTGTAATTACTTGTAAAGGCAAAAATAGTAGTTTCTTCTCTACTGAACACTACGGTCTCTTCTCAAATGATAAAAGATGATCTTGGGCAGTGCTGTGCCCTCTGGCACTTAACCAATTTGGGCACTGTTTGCCTGTATCTCACTCCTTAGTCCCCAACTCTAGGAGGTTCTGATTATCTTGGATGGATTCAGGACTTACAGTACCATCTCTCTTGGATACATGCAACTGTTAACGGAGCCAGGCAGGGTATCCATGCTATAGTACAGCTTGAAATGAACAAAACTGGAAGTCTCTGATATACAGGTGATTTTCCCCCGCATTATCAATTTAAGCATATAGGGTGTGCAAAACTTTAAGCAGTTTCTTGCATGGCATTCCACTTGATATGTTACTAAAAACAAAACTGCACTGCCTGTCCTGGGAATCAGATGGCTGTCAGTCAGCTCCCTGACCATGCGGCTAGGGAGGTCTACACTGCGACACTCATTTCCGCTCATTGGCTCCCCACAGCCTTCACTACTCCATTCGATTAAACTGCAAATACAAAATAAAACAAACTACTGAATCAATGTCCAATAAAGTACTTACATTGGCCCAGCTGGTTCATCGTCTGTAAGGTGTTCAGTTTTTTAATAATCCATTGAGAGGAGAAGAAAGGAGAAAATCGTGAGACTCTACATAAGAATGAATAGAAGAGCAAACGGCAAGTGGCAAACATGGCTATTCATAGCATTTATTCAAGGCCATTCCATCTGGAGGTGCAAAAACACTCATGGAGTTATTATTTCTAGATTCAAGTTTTTAATGGCAGGTATGTTGTTTCAATGGTTTTAGTTAACACTTTGAATGCTTGTCATGAAAAACTGCAACTGTAGCGGACAGATAGGCTGCAATATCATCATACTCATCTTGTCCCCAAGTTCCAGTGGTTCACTCTTAAATAGATGAGAAGACAAACCAACATTTCAGTTGTAAAATCCTGCTGTTTGTTTTCTTGTGGTGAATGCATGCACAGTTTTGGCTCAATCCTACAATGTAGATGGATGTGTATGTTCTATACATTTAGCCACACATCCTCACTTCCCCAAAGGACACTGTTCTTGCTCTTTTGTCATCTTTAGGAAGTCTTTAGTCTGGAGAAGAGATTGAGGAAGAGGAAGCCACAATAGTTCAACCTAATACTGGGTCAGCCCGGCTGGGCTATGCCAGCAACAAGTGTATGCATACCAGAAGATGTTCTGTGACACACCGGGGAGAGCTGAATAGTGGTGACATCCCTCTAGAAAAGACCTCAGACAGAAAGACACGCTCAACTCTTGAGCCCTGGCCAGAACCAGCACCCAAATCCAGATGAGCCATGAGATTTTTTTTTTTTTTTAAAACCAAAAAGCTTACATTATCTGAGTTTAGAAGCCTTCTTAAATTGGTATTTCACAATTCTGATTTGTGAGTTTTTCTTTCCTGTTTGGACTAAGGGCAACTTGGTCCCCTTTAGGCAAGGATGCAGGTACATGGGATATTTTTTTAAAGAGGCCCACAAAGGGGAGGGAACAAGTAAGTGCTCTTAGTTTTTTTTCTATTTTACATAAGTCAGGTAGACTAAATGATTCAGAACAGTTTGGTTTCACCGAAGGCTTCTAGAAAACCTCTCAGCAGGATTCCACAAGGGGGCTTGGTGCACATGAAGCAGTTATGGAGGTCACAGTCTCAGTGTAGGCGTCTGCAGGAGCACGCGTCAGGAGTAATGTCTGTCACAGGGAGACATTGCTCCACCTATTCCTTCGAGGCAACGGAGAGGCAAAGCCACCGCCAGCACACACAGTGACTGGAGCAAAAAAAGATTGAAAAATAAAAACAAAAACAAAAGCTAACCACAAACCAATGACGTGTCAGCCAAAACAACAGGCTAGCGACACACCAGTGTCCACAGGATTCTACTACGAACAACAGTACTCTATCGCACAGGTACAGAGAACGACTAAGACTCAAGGACACCCGAGACATCTGTGTGCTGGGGATGCAGTGGAGATACACGAGACACATCAAGACTGAGACACACGAGCCCAGCCTACGTCTACTCTCACCACGACACCCTAGGCTCTCCGCATCCAGGCCAAGCCAGCTCAGCTACATGCTAGGAACTAAGCACTTCAGGGACGTCAAGGAAAAGACCCAGGAGCAAACTCAGAATAGTTCCGGTGCTCTGGCCGTGCACCGGAAAACAGAAAATTCTAAAGCAAGATAACGGACGAGAATATCACCAATCTACTCCCAACATGAAAAGAAAAAGCAGGGGAGAGGAATCGCGACAGCCAAGCTAATCTCCTCAAAGCAGGACACTGTCCACACCGACCCAAGCACTTTACACGCAAGCTTCTCTTTCTCTTGGTGGCGGAGGGGTGGGCCCTGCTGTCTGCCCGGTGGCGTCACCTCCCAGCCTAACAAGCCGGTAAGGCGCAAAGGGCTGCATGTAGGGGTTTGAGCAACAGCGGCCCCGGTGCAGCTGCCATGCCTGCGAGTGGGAGCAGGTGCATCTAGATCTCCCTTCATCTCTCTCCCCGGATCCACTTGCACATTGACAAGGAACCCAGAAAAGAGCCTCGTGTCTCCTACTGTCTGGACTGACTCACTATCTGCAGCACCACTCTCCCTCTACAGGTCAGACCGGGGGGAAAAAAAACAAAAAAAACAACCAAAAAACAAACAAACAAAAAAACCCCAACAACCTGACCCTAACAGGGAAATCAGGAGAGAGGGAAAGAACAGAACTACAGAAAAAAAAAAAAAGGTACAAAAATCAAAAAGTAAATGAGGATTAAACAGCAAACTGAAATCCAAATTAGTTGTGAAAGTGAATGAAGTCAACTTGAAGAAAAGTGTTAACATTATGAACTGTGCATCGTATAGACTGAAGCGGAGATTAAACAAACTCCAAAAGCATGCATATCGCTCACTTACCACCATGTTTTAAGGGTTTGATGCAATTGAGGGGGGAAAAAAAAGAAGTCATAGTAACCGACAAATATCAACATACCCCCAAACCCTCAGGCCAAAAGATAGCGGCTTAAACAATGGCTCTCCTCTTCGCCTGGGTATTACAGCCACTGGCTGGATGGGAGGAAGAGGACTGGGGAGAAGGGAAACAAGATGCTTCTGGAATCCATCTTGGGAGAGTGAAGTTCCTGGTGGAACTGCCATCTTCCCAACCAGATGTGCTATGGCCCTCGCTCCGCTAGACCCCATCGCCTCATCATCTGGGAGGGTGCTCTGCGATGCCCAGTAAATAATGTGTTACCTGATAGGGGAGCACCTTCAAAAAGATGGCTTTCCAGTCAACGTGACCAAGAGTTGACTCGTCTGGTCAAAACTCCTTTTTCACTGCCTTCATCTCACGGAGGATGGGGTTTTCTAGTTTCTAAACCTGCTTATATCTTGCCTGATCTCAGCAGAATAGCATTAAACCAGAGAGTGATTAACGGTTACATCCAGTTGCCTTTCATACTTGGTCCTACTGTATTTTCTCCATAAGGTAACTTCTTACTGACTCAGATGACCCCTAGTTAGGAGACAATGACCTGTGTGTTTTGCATGTCATTTTAAAAAGTCACATTTCTTTTCCAGCATTCCTGGCCAGCTGAAAAGCTTCATATGCTCCCAACACATTTTTCAAACATTAGAATAGCTCTTATTTGTAGAGTGTTCTAAAAGAGTTTGAGGGCGCCTGGGTGGCTCAGTCATTAAGCGTCTGCCTTCGGCTCAGGTCATGATCCCAGGGTCCTGGGATCGAGTCCCACATCAGGCTCCCTGCCCGGCAGGAAGCCTGTTTCTCCCTCTCCCACTCCCCCTGCTTGTGTTCCTGCTCTCGCTATCTCTGTCTCTGTCAAATAAATAAATAAAATCTTTAAAAAAAAATAAAAAAATAAAAGAGTTTGAATGTATCAGAGCCACTAAAAATGGTTCCCCCCCCAACCCCCCAACTATCTACTCCACCAGTAACTTGAGGAGGAATCCCTTTGAACTGCTTATAAAAATTATCCCCCAAATGTGAAAACAGAAAACTCTTTCTGATGCTGCCACTTCTTTTCTCAAATCAGCTCTTGTTTTCATTTGAGGTCACTAAAATGTCCAGTAGAACTGAAGGCCCCAACAAAGAGGCAGGCTCATGCCACATCTCCCCAGGTGACTGGGGAGCACAGACTTGAAGCGCACACACACACTAATCCCTCTCTGGGTTCAGTCTGCAGAGAACCAACACAGAAGGTGTGCTCCAAGCATGTGAGCTGTAGGATGGATGGAAGGCTAGGGGGATGCTGGCTGGACCTAGTCTTTTTAGAAAATTATCACTTAACATTTTCAGAGAAGGCAGTCAAGAGGTGAGTAAAGTGAAAAAACGAAGCCTATGATTTGACTCCATGATTCATCTGTTACTGAAAACACTGAAGGTAAGAGGTGATATGCAGATAATCTACTATAAGACAACCTACTGGGCACCAATCCTCAAAGAAACCACAACAGGGGCTTAAAGGGACTTAATGTGAGTTTTGTTTATGAAATGTCCTGAGTAGGGGCACCTGGGTGGCTCAGTCGGTTAAGTGTCTGCCTTCGGCTCAG